AGAAATAGTGAGTGCTTTTATCTTCTTTTTTTCTTGTTCTGCTCAAATTCACTCTGCAAAGCTGGTTTCTCTCATACCTATTCACCCTTCAATTTATAAATAAACTTTTGGCATTGTTTTTGGCTTCTCTGGTCCAATTCTTTGTTCAAGGCAAGGAGGACCTAGAATACTTTTGATTGGTGAGCCATTTCTAAAGAAACTATGCAACAACAATATGTCATAGGCAAGTAGGCTTCATCTCAGGGATGAAAGGACGGTTCAACTTATGTGAATCAATAAATGCAATACATCATATAAACAGAAGAACAAAAATAATCATATGATCATATCAATAGATGTAGAAAAGCCTTGGACAAAATCCAACATCCATTCATTTAAAAAAACCCTGAAGAAAAAAGGTAGAGAAGGACTTTGTGTCAATGTGATAAAAGCCATTTATAAGGGACCTTCTGTCAACATCGTATTAAGTGGGGAAAAGCTGAAAGCTTTTCCTCTAAAATCAGGAACAAAGCAAGTATTTCTACTATTATCCTTCTGTTCAATATAGTACTTCAATTGATAGCCAGAGCAATCAAGCAAGAGAAAAGATTAAAACAGACAGATACATATAGGAAAGGAAGAAGTAAATATGAGCAGATGAAATGATTTTTTTTTCTTTGTATTTATTTATTTTTACGTAGTTCAAGCTGGCCTTGAACTCACTATGTAACACAGGCTGGCCTTAAACTCACAGCAATAGGTAAAACTCTTGAAGACATAGGCATAGTGAGGACTTTCTGAACAAAACACCAAGTGCACAAGAATAACATTGCAGAAATAACACTGAGTCAATAGTTTTATATCAAATTAAATAGCTTCTGCAGAGCAAAGTAAACAATGAACAGTGAAATAACCCACTGAATGGGAAAATAATTTTTGCCAGCTACTCCTCAGATGGGATTAATACCTAGACTATATAACAAACTCAGAAAAATTAGTCCCCCCCAAATAAAATAAAAAAAATAGGGAATTGAAATGAATAGGCATTTCTCAGAAGTACAAATGGCCAATAAATACATGAAAAAATATTCAAAATCTCGGCTATTACATAAATGCTAGCTAAAACAACACTGAGAATTCCATGTTACTCCAGAAAGAATGTCTATCACAAAGAAATAAAAAAACAAAAACATGTTGCCAAGGTTAGGGGGGGACATGAACACTTCTACATTGTTGGTGTGAATATAAACTAGTACAACTACTATGGAAATCAGTATGGAGATTCCTCGAAAAACTAGAAATTTAACTAGAAATTCCATTTGATACAGCTATATTCTCTTCATAGGTATCTTCTCAAAGGAGTTAAAAAAACATTATATTACTGTGACATATGTATACTCATGTTTATACCAGCTCAACTCAGAATACCTAGATCTTGGAAGTGGCCTAAATGTTCATCGACAGAAGAATGGATAAAAAAGTATGATATTTATATACAATGGAATAGTAAACTATAATGAAGGATAAATTTAAGTCATTGTAGAAAAATGGAGGTACCTTGAGAATGTACTGTTAAATGAAATAAATCAGACACAGAAGGTTAAGTATCACATGGTTTCTCTTATATACAACACCTACAGCATAATTTAAAGGGCAGAATAAAAGATAGAAAATAGGAAACAGGGAGATAGATCTTTTGCAAATGGGAAGAGGACCAAGATATGCAAGGTGGGAGGAGGGGAACTAAAAAGAATTAAGACATATTATGTGCATGTTCAACATGAAGAATGTAAACATTATGTATTGCAATCATGTACTAATAAAATTTTGCAACGTTTTCAAAATATGGTAAATTTAATGTTATATATTATGCATATTTATAATTAAAATTTAAAATATTTTCTAAAGTAGAGAAATATGAATAAAACAAAAAATAATTTTAAAAAATATTAACATGATAAACATTTAGCTAGAATGCATGAACAAAACAAGAAGATTCACATTACTAACATCAGGACTAAAAAAGGGAAATTTCCACCAACCTTACCAAAATAAAAAGGATTGTAAAATATCCCAATAAATTAGATAACACAGATGAAATGGATAAATTATATAAAAACACTAACTGTTGAGAGTGACTGAAGAAGAAATAGAATGAATAAAACTATAACAGGAAAAGAGATTAAATAGTAATTTTAAATCTTCCCATTAAAAAGCTTATGACTACTAAAAAAAGCTTATGACTACTAAAAAGCTCACTACTAAATAGTTGGTTATGTGTTTATTTTTTTTCATGGTACTTGGCATTACCCCCAGACATTTAAAAGTATTTTTAAACTTGATGTGAGACAAGGTCTTGCAAAATTGCCCAGACTGGGCTCAAACTTGTGATTCTCCTGCTTCAGCTTCTCAGAGTGCTAGAATTAGAGGTGTGTGCGATCACACTCGGGTACTACCAAATATTTAAAGAAGAATTAATATTAACACTTCACCAAGTTTTTCAAAAAATATGAGAGGAAAGCACAGTTCCTAACTTACTCTATGAAGCTAGTATGGACCTGTAACCAAAATAAGACAGACATTGCAAGAAAAAAAAAACAATATTCCTTACAAATATATACAAAACCCTCCGCAAAGTACTGACAAACAAAAATCTAGAAATATGTTAAAGGAATTGTTTTCCACGTCAAAGCAGGATTCATTCTAGGAATGAATCTAAATATCAATTAATGTTATAAATCTTTTCAATAAGATAAAGGCAAAAGACCATATGACAATGCTTGTAGATGTAGAAAAAGCATTAGATAAAATCCACACTTGTGAATGATAAAACCATTCAACAAACTATAAATAGAAGGGTAGTTCCTTAATCTGATAAAAGGCATCCACAGAAACCTTTCCCATACTGGTAGCAAACTGAAATGCTTCCCCCTATGATCAAGGCGCCATTTTGTCACTTTTCTTCAACATTATGCCTAACGTTCTAAGCAATATAGTTAGCCATCAAGATCTGAAAAGAAAAAAACAATCCCTGTTCGTAGAAAATATAACCTTACATGTAGACTAAAGAATCCACCAGAAAGCTGTATCTCATAAACAAGTTCAACAAAGTATCAGGGTACAAAAGTCAATAGACAAATCAATTGTATTTCTATACAGCAGCTATGAACAATCAGAAAATTAAGAAAAAATTCCATTGATAATAGTGTCAAAAATACTTAAAAACAAATTTAACAATTAAGTATGAAACTACAAACCCTGAAAACTTTAAATCATTGCTGAAAAAACAGAGGACCTAAATAAATGGAAAGGTATCTGATCATCATGCATTGGAGGACTTATTGTTAAGATGGCAATACTACCCAAATTGATCTACAGACTCAAAGCATTAGCTATAAGAATTCTACTAGGATTCTTTGTAGAAACTGACATGATGGTTGTATAATTCACATGAATTTGAAGTGACTGAAACACAGGAGTAAATCTTTATGACGTTGAATAAGCACAAGCAATAAAATAAAGCAAATTAGAAACTGGACTTCAAAATGAAAATGTTTGTGCTTCAAAAAGACACAAAGAAGTGAAAAGAAAAATTCACAGAATAGTTGAAAACTTGCCAATCCATGTATTTATATGAGGGACTTGAGATCAAGAATATAGAAAAACTCTTACAACTTAATAAAAAGGCAAACAACCCAATTAAAAATGAACAAAAGGTCTAAATTTTTTTCTGAAGAAAATATACAAATAGCCCATAAGCACATGAAAAGATGCTGAATAATATCAAAACACATCAAGATAATTCAAATCAATACCATAATGAAATCACTTTTCATCCTCTAGGATGGCTAGAATCAAAACTACAGCTAATAAGTGTTGGGAAAGATGTAGAAAAAAATGGAACCCTCATACCTTGGTCATCACTGCTTATTCTAAGATACCTCCCTTACTATACTGTAAACTCTATGAAGGCAACATCCATGTATGTCTTGTTTATTATAATGCCTGGTTCACTGTATGAATAAATTAAATATTTATTCAAGACATATTTCCTCATGCTGTATTTTTTTTTTCATTTTGTTAGACTTAATATTCCAGCCTGTTAAGGGAATTCTGAATCCAGACTTGTTCAGGGAATTATAATCCAATCCTATTGTGTCATACATGCATTTGACATGCACACCATTCCAGTCTTTTCCAAATCGTTAATGTTGAAAATGAGAGAGCTAAGGATAAAATCCTAAGAAGGTATCTACTCCACTGGCCACATATTATCAATCCATTACATCTGCAGTCTTCAGCTAAGACTTTTAAAAAAAATTAATCTTATTGGTACATTTTAGGTATACAATATAATGAAATTCATCATTAGAAATTCGCACCTTTATGTAATCTATCTTGGTTCTTATTTTCTCCCCATTCCCCTCCCCTCCAAACCCTCCACCCCTCCCTATTTACAAAGGCTTTGTTTCCATTTTTTCATTTTCTCATATTAATTCCATTCCCTTTTTTCCTTTCCCCTATCCCTCCCACTTTCCCCTTGCTCTTTTTCTTCCTATTTCTCATTATGTATTATACCTTTTAGTTCTTATTTACACTTTCAGTTTCTCACACCAAAGAAACTACTCGTAGACTCTTTAATTATAATATTATTTAGCCCAAATTTTCTATCTTGACTAGAACAGGTATAGGAGAGCTTCCATTTCTATGATACCTTTCTGTACCTGGCATCTCCTGTATTCAAGTGGAGCTGAACTAATCATTTCCCTATCTTTCTCACAACTGTAACTTTTCTCACTTGCCACAGTATATTATAGTAATTCTTTTACAAATTAGTCTCTGCTGTAAGGTCAGGTTCTCCTATAAAAGACAAAGTCTAGGATAATGCCAAAAATTTAGTTGGTAATGAAAAAAATAGCTAACACGTTTTGCAATGCAAACACACTAAAATTATGACATTTCCCACTTTTGCCATCATAGTATTACTACATAGTATCTAAAAATCCTTTAGACACCCTTACCTGTAGCACAAAAGTAGCAGCATAACTCAGAAGAGAAGGGTGATGGACTATATTTAAGCTGTTTTTAAACTTTACTACTCCAGATTTTTCTAGGATTTTGGGGTCAATAGATATTCCTTTCTCAAAGGGTTTAGATGTCCACAGGCAACCAACCATGGTTGTCAAATAGTGATTAAATTGTTGACAAGTCTTGCTGCTGAAACTGAACTCTGATTTTGCCTAATGAGAAAGAAATAAAATTGTCATCATCATTTATTCTTTTTTCTTATTATTCTTAGTTTTTAAGCAATGGTGACATAACAGATTGTTTATTATTCATACCTTTTGTACCAACTCATTCTTCTTTGCAGCAATCAAATTTTTATGATATCTAAGAAAAAATCAGAATGAAGTGTTTAACATGACTTTGGATGTAATGCTTTTGAAATAGAAAATAAATGAAAATGTACATTTTAAAATGGAAATAAATTCAAATGGGCATATAAACAAATTTTCAGTTGTCTAGTTAGTTAAAGATTTCAATCGGGGGCTGGGGATTTAGATGGGGCTGGGGATTTAGTGCAGTGGTTCCACTGCCTGCCTCACAAGCACAAGGTCCCGAGTTTGACCCTCAGTACCAAAAAAAAAAAAAAGATTTCTTTACTTTTGTGGTACATTTTCTTCAAAGAATTAAAATAGAGGCTCAAAACTGAGTTGTACATATAAGAAGTGACTATATGTATATTTTACCTCAATGAAAAGTAAAATGAGACATGCTTTGAATGTTTCACTATTAAAAAAATAATAGAGGGTCAAAAATTGTCAGTTATTGATACAGAACACAGTTTATGTTAAAAAAGGTATAGCAGAAAAAAGGAAATTTAGAAATGTTACTTTCTTTTTGCCTGAGGACTGTTATCTAATTAGCTTTTATATATATTAACCCTGGTATAGTTCTACAAATTATGCCAAAAGGGTCTATACTTAGAATGAAAAGTGTAATTAGACTTCAAAAGTGAAGCAATTATAGATCATAAACAACACTTACAGCTCATGTAATTGCCAACAGCTTTTAAATCTCCCAGAAAATGTTTTCTTTTTTTTACCAGAGAAGCTTTTATACATTTAAACCAGTCATCAACCAATGACTAACTTTCAAGACAAAGAAATCAGTCCCACATTGGAAGATTATGCCCCCCCAAACAACCTTTTTTCCTATTTCTAAAGACCCTGGTAGAAAATAAATAGGAATTCTTACTGTATTACAGTTGAAAGATGAAGACAGAATTATGATATACTAATTCATAAAATAGTAAAATGGCTTGTACCTGTGCATAATGTAACAAAGCTGGTTCAAGATACTGGTATCCAAGCTGAGAAGTGAAGCATAGAAGATCCCAGGAGGAAGCAAAACCACTAATGGAAGGTCATGATTTATATATATATCACATACCTTTAGGGGAGAATGATAACCTAAGTATATAGATCATTTTCCAGAAGTCAACCAACTTCACCCAAAAAGTCATCAATATAAGATAAGCAATAATGCAACATTAACTTCCTGATGTCTAAGTTGATTAGGCAGCTACAAGTCTGCTTAAAATATACCTCATCAAACATCAACTTTACCACAGAAAATTATTTCTAGAAGACTATTAATGAAATCTTTTTTTGGGGGGAAGATGTCTTGCAATGGGAGAGGGCAGGGTAGAGAAAGGGAATGCTACTTTTTCCTCAAGTTCCTTAAATACTTTATTATATCAGTTAGCTGTCAATTTGAAAAACAAAGAAGAGCATGCTACTAAGCAAATGCTTAACACAAGATAACTAGATATTAGTGAAGAGAGGAAGCCAGGAAAAGTGAGATTACAATAGGTATTTAGTGGTAATAGTTCCATGCAGGTTGAATATCATAAAATAAAAGAGGACTAGAATTATAAAGGTACAAGGTTACCAGGAGAAATAAGGCAGTTGAAAGGTAGGAGTAACGATCTAGAGAAGTGAGTAGATATTTTTGGTTTTTACAAGGTTGGGATGTACAATGGAGGAATAAAAAGTGATGTTAGAGATTTCTGTGTAGGGCCAACACTGTTACAGGTTAATGTATGAAACCTGGACCAAAACAAAATTACATTTGTTTTTATACTTTGTTTTATAAAAGTCAGTTACTCAGTTGAAAATACAAGCATTATCTTCAAAATGTAAGGTTAAACTATACTAATAAGAACCATAGCCTAACTTCAATGGTTGTACATGGAATTTAAATAATAGGCCTATAAAGAGCTATCACAAAAATCTAAATGATGAAAATAAAATATGTCCTACCTTCTTATAGAAATCCAAAACAAAGTGCAATAAGAAAGTACTGTTATTCTCCAAGCGCATGGCAGTAGTTGACAGCCATCCTACATAGTGAATCAGTGTAGCCACAGAGTTCATGGATCCACCCAAAGTTGTCTCTCTACAAAAAGAAACTACATTTAGATCCAGAACAAAATTGCCACAATTTCCAAGCTAAAGTAGATAATATATAACAAAAAGTTGATAAGATTATAAAAGCTATCAGTGCCACAATGTATAATATATGTAAAAAAATACAATGATGAATCATAAAACTATACTTAGCCCTCTAGGGAATTATTAACATCAATTCATAGAACACTCTCAGCAGGAAAAAGGATTAAGTTTTGATTGTAGATAGATAATGCTACCAACATCTAGGGATACTAGTCAAAGTATTTGTATCTACTAACTGATAAGCAGTGAACTTTGATATTCCTCAATAATGGAAGTACTTAAATGAAAGCTATATAAAAAAGTAGAAAAATCAGTGTTCATTAACACAGGAAAAGAACATGATAAATTCAGAATAAAATTTGAAAACTAACAAAAAAGTAAACTAGAAAAATGAGAACTAATTAATCTGAAATAAACCACAAGTGGTTTAAGGAAATAAAGATTAAAATGACTTCTTCCTATGATGTCAACAACATTGCAACACACTGAGTGAAACCTATAGTACAGAAATCCAAACCCAGTTTTGCTTAAATTTCTCAACTAAAAATGTTGTTTAAAATATTTTCTCTGGAATTCAATCTAATCCTAAAACTGAATTAGGAAATTGTTTTGCATCTTTCTTCTAGTAAAATCTAGATCTGGTTATTTTAAATTTTCCCCAAATTAATGAACTGAGTCTTTTAGAACCACACTGGGCATAATTTTTTCAATCTATATTACTTACCCCTTTTAATACACTGTTAAGCAGATTAAGAAAGAACCACAAAATGTGAATTCATAGTTCTATCCTGCTATCTAGGTAATCAACAATGGTAATGCACAGGAAAATGGAAAAATATACAGTTGCAGAGCTTGAGATGGTAACTCTATCACAATCCACCTCCATGATGGTTCAGTGCTAAAACAAGCAGTGAAGGAGGGAAGGATATGGAGACCATTCAGATGTGCAGCATCCCCATAACTAGCTATAGTACTTGCAAAAATGATATAGTTTTGGTAGCACTTGGCAAATGTGTATGAAACAATTTGCAACAATGATGACTGTTCAAAACAGCACCCCCCATCTCTTTTTGCAGTACTAAGATTGAACCCACATCTTCACAAATGCTAGGCAAGAACTCTACCACTGAGCTACATCCCCAAGCTCAGAAGAGCCTCTTTTGAAGTGTTTCTCTACAGGAAACTATCGACATTTTAGAAAAAACAATTCACTGTTCAGGACTGCACATTTAAAATCCCTAATTGCCACCTACTAAAAGATGGTAGCACCCTCTTCCCAGGCACTATGACAAACAGAAATATCCCTAGAGAAACACTGAGAATGGTTCTCTACCCTTTCCTTTTTGTGATTTGTAAGTACAATTTATTCCCTTTTTGAGAGTTATATGGAATCTTATGACAGAAATATATTATGTATACGAATATATCCAAAAGGAATTGTTGAGAAACTAAGAGCTCTACTATATAGTGCTAAATATTATTACAACAAGCAAAGTTACCTACATGTTTATCCATGTATTTGTTTACGAATTTTAGAAAGCACTGTTCCTTTTTAGATGTTCTCCCTGAATCTATGACAATATTAAAGAAGGATTCTAAGATTTTTGGAAAGATAATATAGAAATTGTGAAGCCTCTATTTCAGAGGTACTTGAGACTTGCACTGCAAGTTGGCCAAAGGTTTAGAGATGTAAATGTACCTAGTTGGCCGAAGTTTATAGATGCAAGCATACTATCTTTTCTTTTTTTTGGTACCAGGGATTGAACTCGGCTCCTTGAGTTTGCAAGGCCAGTGGCACCACTGAGCTAAATCCCCAGGCCGGGTACTAATCTTTTCTTATTCATTAAGTTTATTAGTACAAACTAGATATACATAATGATCACATTCATCATATAGAATTTGTACTTGTACATGACATATCTTGATTTTAATTTTTCCCATTCTTCTTCCCTCCCTATTTACAAAAGCTTTACTTCCAGTTTTCCGTCTTTTTTCATTATTTTTTCTTTTCCCTTCCTTTCCCTCTCCCCCCTCCCTAGTGCCCCTTTCCATTCAAATATTTTCTTCCTATTTCACATTATCTATTATATAACTCTTGGTCCTTATTTACACTTTCAGTGTCTCACACCACAAACATACTATTCTTAATTAAACTGCTTTTTCTGACTTTTTTTTTTGGTACCAGGGATTTCGCGGTGGAACACTAAGCTAAATCCCCGGCCTCTGTTTTTAATTTTCATTGTTTCTTGGACCAGAATTATTGCTAGAGTTTAACTCAGTGGATTTAGGGCAAGGCCTCAGGATTTTAATCTCTAACAAATTCCAGGGTGATACTGATGATACCACTGGTCTGAGGAGAACACATTGAGAAGCACAGCTTTACAAGATGTTTTCACTACCCATTAGTACTTCATTTCCTTCTAAAAACAATTAACTATGTTATGAATATAGTAAATTAAAAACAATTTTCTTTACTACTCTCAAGAAACTTCTATCCTCTGTTCTTTTACCCCACTTTTACCCTACAGGGATAAGAAGATAAGGAAAACTGGGCCTGGATGAATCTTTTAATCAAATTAATCACCAGCTATTTGCAACTAAAGCCAAGGATAATTCGAACCGTGGTTAGTTTTGAAGATATTAAAATTATCAAATTTTTAGATGTCAAACTGGTACCATTTTCTCTACAGTTGAGATGGTATTTAGGCTTTGCTTAAAAATAATTCTGGAAGAAGGTGAAGGGTATAATAGATGAAAAAAATTAACCATGAGATGATAACTGTTGAAGCTTGCCATTACATGTGGAAAACAAAAATCAATAATTCACTTCAATAAAAATGTGGGCTCTTTATGAACTCCAATTTATAAATAACTAATGCACAGAATGGAAATATACAAGAGAATCAAAAAAACAAAGATGTGCAGCAAAACTGCCTCAAGGTGAGACTTATATATGTTTTATAAATTGAGTTAAACTGAACAGAAGTCAAGTTGTAAATTCTAACCTCAGCTCTCTTTAGATTTTGCTATATTAACTCTTGCCAAGTCGCTTCAAGGCTAAAGGGTTGTTTTCTGATTGATGTAAAGGGAACTTGGAGAATTAACCTTTCTCTCAGGATTATGGGAAAGAAGAATGAAATATAACAAAAAAGTCTTTCAGAAAAATACTACTAAGTGCTTACATGAAACAATTGGTTCTGATGCTACACTATTTAGCTCCATATGCATACATTTCTGTACAAATTACTTCCAGGGGAAGACTGTAAAATAACTCACAGAGGACTGCTCATCGTAGGTTTCATGTGGATATCCATAGACAGCCACAGCAGCCAATTCTGTAGTAGCTCTTTTAGACTATGAAGGACACTACACTGGGGGAAAAAACAAAACAAAAAAGTCATTCATGAAATCATTCAGCCCTGTTCTGAACTAAAGAGACTTAGACTGGGAAGGGAACACGGAGATGATTATATCCAATTCAGAACTTAATAGTTGTTGCTCTAACAGTTTCAGTCTCCAGGAGACAGATGACTGCAAGTATAAGTTTATTTTGCCATTTTCTCTATAAGAAACATAACTCAACATATCTCCCCCAACTTAGCCTAGAAACAGACTTTTCTCAAACTACATTTATAATAGTGGTCACTTTGGTGGCACATATACTAAAGTACATTTATAACAAATAGTACACCATCAAGTAAAAACATTATCCTTATTGTCCCTTCTCAGAAATCCTTTGCAGTTGCTAAGACCTGAGTTCTTCACCCTCTGCAGTGTGTTCCACAACAACCCTTTCTGAGGGTCATAAAAATTTATTTTATCTTCCATGACTCTGAAAAACAAACAATTCTAATCATTCCTTTGTCAGGCCTTACTTGATTTCCCAGAGCCTCATTCACATACCAAAAATATAGTCATGATAGAACTTTATCCATGGCCAGGGATTTAGCTCAGTGGCACTGTGCCTGCCATGCAAGTACAATGTCCCGAGTTTGATCCCCAGTACAAAAAAAAAAATGCATCCAGGGACTATCCTTACATTTGTAAACAGTATATATCATCCCCAAACCAAATACAAAAAATTTTTCTTAAACAACTTGAAAAAATAATGGCCTAATCATTTAAGTAGTGACAGGGTGCTCAGAGTTCAATTACTATTTGTAGAAATTGACACTTTATTATAGTCAAGTTAGAAATATAGGTCAGTTGGAGCCAGGGATTTGGCTCAGTGGCACTGCACCTGCCTTGCAAGTGCAAGGTCCTGAGTTTGATCCCCGGGGTGTGCGTGTGTGTGTGTGTGTGTGTGTGTGTGTGTGTGTGTGTGTTGAAAGCATCCCTAGAGTCATCTCAAGCAATATTCTACTATAAAACTTCTATCAGTGTATTTTATCATTTGAAAAGATATTCAATGTTACAATGCTATATATGGAAAAAAATTTTAAACTCATTACCTATCTATCCTGCACTGCCCCCACATTAAAGAAAGGTATGAGGTGTTCATGTTTACAGAATAGGACATGGGTTTTTAAAACAAAAAGGCCAAGAAGGACACTTATACACTACATGTGAATCTTTTCTATTTATCTTCCCCTATTTAATCTCTGCCTGACCTACCCTACTGTTAATATATATACCTCTGAAGCACCTCCATTCGAGTTTGTTCTACCTGTAATACTGCCTTCTATCCAACTCTGCATTGTGTAACCACGCAGAAATTTTCTTTTTCCATGTGAGAATCATTCAAGTATTAGAAGGGAACCATAAAATCTTAAGACTTTTTTCCTTCAGACAAAGTGCCCCTGATTCTTAGAAGTTAAGGATGCAGTTAAGTAAGAGAACACTTGCCTACCATCCATGAGGCCCTGAGTTCCATTTCCAGAAGAGTAAAAGAAAAAACCTCCCTGTTTCCTTCTAGTTCCTCTACTATCTCAAACTGGAAAGCTTGAAGTTTCCGACCTTCATGCTTAAGCTCTAGCTACCACATCTTATCATTTTTTCCTTCAAAATTTCCAATTTCTTTCCTTCCAAATTCTACTATAGATCAATCCTTCAAAGCTTTGAGGTCACTTTATCTACCTACCTGGTCTCTCATATTCTATTCTCTTCTCCCAGTCCCAGTTCTTTCCATGACTGCTATCCTTGTATTAAAGCACTCTATTATATCTTTCTCTCCAAGAACCTGCAGTGGATAACACTTTGGCAAAGGAGTAGTATATATAACAAGGCCATAAAAATGTTCAATCCCTCTTTTCATCTGGTAATCTCACTACTGGAAATGTGTGCCAAGAGAATAGTTTAGGGAAAAAAATCAGTGTTATGAAGATAGTCAAGAAAATTATTCCTACAATAGAAACAAATTAGAAATAACAATAGAGAAATGATTAAATTATGGTACTAGGATTATGCCAACTATTAAAAATATTGTGAAGACCATGGAAACATGGAAATTGCCATGCAAATTTTATATTCTGATATTTTAATTTGTAAATTATATTTACAACTATATAGAAAAATGGTAAATCAATGAAGACAAAATGTAGTCAATTAACATTCCAAAGCAAAAGTAGCAATGATATGGCGATTTTCCCATGCAAAATTCTATAATGAAAAAAAACTTGATGACAGGTACAACTTACTGGGCATAAACAAAGAGTACTAAGAATGAGTAAAGAACAGATTTTTATACTATTCATTTATTAGAGTAAGGAGGGTAAATTGTGTTAATCATTACTATAAAACCTCATAAATTAACTGAATTTCTAGCTAATTCTACCATATTTTACTTTCTTATTGCCCTTTAACACCTTCTAAAATGTAAGCCCATTTGTTCACCTATCCTTTCTTACATAGCACTATACTTCTCTCTGCTTCCGGTTACCTTTCACTGATTCTATCCTTTCCAAATCTCTCAGTTCTACGGTAATCTACACATACAACTTCATATGCTTTCTCTGTCTCTTAACCCTAATCATAATTTGGCTCTCCTTCACAACCCAACCAGGACACTTTCTTCTCCATATATTTCTTTCACTTTAAATTAAGTTTATTGATACATTTAAGGTATACAATATGATGACATTCAACGTTGGGAATTTGAACCTTTACATGATGTATCTTGGCTCTTGTTTGTTCCCCATAATTCCAGAAACTCTCTATATATTTCTATATTTCATTTTAACACCAAGAATTGACCTAGCTTGCCACTGCTAATGTGGGAACAGAATATAAGCCTCTTCTTAGAGCAAACAAATATAAAATCAGAAATGAATCCTATTTTAAGAGAATCAGATTTAATTAAAAAGATACAACATTTCCGAGACAAATAAGTAGAAACAGCAAATAAACATGAAAAAATGTTCAACATCACTGGTCATCCAGGAGATGCAAATTAAAACAATGTTGAGATTTCACCTCACTCCAGAAAGAATGTGTGCTATGAAGAAATCAACAATAACAAATGCTGATGGGCTTGTGGAGAAAAAGGAGCCTTTCTCCACTGCTGGTAGGAGTGTAGACTGGTGCAACCACTGTGGAAATCAGTATGGAGCTTCCTCAAAAACCAAGGTCCCATTTGACCCAGCTATTCCCCTGCTGGGTATCTTCCCAAAAGGATTAAAAGAATCATACCATAGTGATATATGTGCACCCATGTTTACAGTTGCAGTTTCTAATAGTTAAATCTTGGAAGCAGTCCAAATGCCCATTAACTGAAGACTGGATACAGATGTGTGTGTGTGCGCACGCACGCGCGTGTGTGTTGTAATAAAATGGAATACTACTCAGCCATAAAGAATGAGAAACTAGAGACATTTATAATTAAAAGGATGCACACTGAGGCCGTACTTAAGTGAAATAAATAGGACACACATGTGTAAATACTGAATAGTTCCTCTGGTGTGAGAAACTGAAAGTGAAAATGAGTTTAAAAATGTACAATAGATGTGAAATAGGAAGAAAAGGTCCAAAGTGGAAGGAGGAGGGAAAGTGGGGGGAGTAGGGGAAGGGAAAGAAGGGAAAGGAAAATAATATGACAAAATGAAAAAAAAAGAAACAAAGTCTTTGTAAAAAAGGAGGGGAGGAGAGGTTGAAGGGAGGACAGGGGAATGGGGAAAAATAAGGCCCACGATATATCAAGTACAGGTACAAATTCCAAATGATGAATTTCATCATATTGTATATGTAAAATATACCAATAAACTTAATGAATTTTAAAAAAGATACTACAAACAAATCAAATAGGCCTTCTATTTAATCAACCCCACATGTCATATTTTCTATTTTAGAATGTTTATAAATACGGTGTGAGCCAAAACTCACAGTCTAACCTCATTAGCCAAACTTCTGCTTAGTTGAATTCATTAGACTATGATCAGACCTCCATTTTACATTGCCTTGTTATTTTCTTTATTTGAATGTTCCTTGGTTTTCTAAATATAATGCAAACTGTCTATTTTCAAACAATTATTTCTCTCTTGTGTATAAAATCCTTTCTCCTTTGATGGTCATACTATCCAAATACACTACCATTTACTTTTAAAATTTTGATTCAGTTTTTTAGGTGCTGTCAATCAAATCTAAGGCCTTCTACATACTAGGAAACTCTACCAGTGAGCTACACTTCAGCTCCTTTTGCTTTTTATCTTCCCAAATTGCTGCTATCTATATCCTGGAAACTCATCCATATTCACTAAGGATCTTAGTGTTCTCTGTCTCATGTTCTGCTATTGACACTTCAGTTATGGCAATGTCCATGAAGTAGTTCTGGAAGTCTTCTTTTGTGAATGTCCTTATAAGGTATGATCAAAAATACTATGAATGCTATTGCCCAGTGCCATCCAATGGAAAGGTAGGCTCATAAAGACATTATATCATTGGCCTTATTCACCAGATCTAGCATCGTACAATTTCCGGTCTTCCCCAAAGTCATAATGGCCAATGAAAGGTATTGATTCAGGACATTAAGGCAACCATGACAACACAACTAAAGACATTCATGAAAGAGGACTTTCAGAACTGCTTCACAAAGTTACAGGAGACCACAGCAACACTTTCACCACTGCTAATGCCATTACCAGCACCTCTGCTGCTGCCTCTGTGGGGCCCTTTGCCTCCTCAGTGTAATTCAGGCCCTCTGTCCCAGAGAAGAAATACTGCGTTTCTCTCCTGGCCCTGGGGCACACGCATGGTAGGTGATAGAGGCAGGGGAATGGTATGGTGGGCAGTGGAAGAGCAGGACAGACTTTGGTGGAGAAGGCTGGTGGGGGCTGTGGCCCTACCAACCAAACCTTGCTGCCTCCCAGTGATATACAGCATGAAGCTCTGTTAATGGAGAAGTTCAATAGCCAGGGCCTGTTTGACATCATCTGCTGGGACTCTGGCTGATGGGAACAAGCCATATAATTAAAACCTGAAGCAAAATAGATAATTCTATTAACACATCTGGACATGCAGGAATGGAATCCTATAATGAACAGGAACCAATTTCAAAATGGTCTGAGGCAGAGTGTGGTTCAGTCTGGGATGCTGAAAGTAGGAGGGTGGTGGATCCAAAACTAAACCACATCTTCAAGTCAAAGAACAAGCAATTCATGAGGTCGTAGCAGCCCAGAAAAAAGAAGCTCTGCTGGTGCCCTCTCCAGAGACTAAAAGCCAGGACTCTCCAGCTGTATCCCAGGAAACGTCCTAAGAATGGGCCCGATGCCTTTTGAAAGCTCCATTCAATTAATGGATTCCTATTACACAGAGTACCACTTCAGTTGGTCATAGTCACCACTGATCGTAAGTTATAGACTTTGACTTTGAGACAGTGGAGGACTTAATAGGGAGCAAGTTTTGCAGGGAGAGGATCGCCCTCAATTGTGCTACCAATTGGCCAGCCTTTTGAAGGGTGTGGCACATAGCAGACACTACAAAGGTCTGAGGTATAAACCATAGAACAACCTGGGGTAGTCCTGAAACAAACTTTTATATTTGAACCAGGAGACTGGACATGGGTTAAAGAGTTTGAGCTCTGGGATAAACAGAAGCTATAATGAAAGAACATAATCAGTTCCAAAGGTAACTTCAAAGAATAACAATAGAGTTAGTTGGGAGTAGGTACTATATTTGACAGTGTTTACTTGGTATTCTGTATCAGAGTTACAAACTAGAAGGTACAAGCCATTAGTATCAGGTAACCTTAAAGTTGTTGTGACTTTCTTTTACATGAATCTTCTAGCCAGTTTCCTCTCCTTTGTCAGAGGTGACAAAACATGGAGCCCTAGAGTGAATGAGGAAGCTCAGACATGAGGTATAAAGAAAATCATTTGCAGCCTTTCTGTCCTGCAAGGACTAATGAGAATTAGCAATGATTGTTCTATTCTTGTGTCTGTATTTTTTAGAAAAGTGAATGATCAATAAATGGTATAAACTTTATAATAAAGTCATTTGATATTCAAAAAAAGAAAGTGGCAAGAATGATAGGATAACTGTGTTCAAAGCAAAGGGGAGTACTTTTAGGCTAGAAAAGCGACTGATCAATAAATACCATCAGTCTTATAATAAAATCATTTGGTACTTAAACAGGAAAGAAAGTGGTAAGAATGATGGTTAAGTATGTTCAAAGCAAAGGGAAGTATTTTAAGAGGAATGGCAATGTGTCTCTTTCTGTAATAAAAATTTAAAAAAATTTACACATTTACAGTATATTTTGACATACCATGTACACATTTGTTATATTCATTCATTGTATCACTTGCTAAAAGTGGAAAGAGTTCAGGAAAACTGTATGTGACAAAACCTTAAAAGCAGAAAATTCTATGTATTACTTTTAATTGAGTAATAAAATACGTCAAAGTCCAGGACCAAAAGAATCAGAAAACCACTGCTAGAGTAATATCAATTTAGAATTGTATATTATTGCACTAGAAAAGTATTTCCTATTGATTCTAAGCAAGGCAGGTTTTATTTATTTTTACCTTGAAATAAATGGTTGATGTAAAGAAGAGCTGTGCTAGATGGTCAAAAAGTAGTGGCTTCACCTCTAGGAATTAAAAATAAAAATTATTCAAAATGCTTTGAATTCATATTACACTACATGAAATGACTCCAGGTTTTCAATGATACATACCAGAGAAGCTACTAAAAGGAATCCAGCTCACAAGCTGAAGGAACTGTGACCGACAACAAAGGCCATCCCAGAGAGGAATGCTCTTATACAGGAAAGCTTCACAGGAATAAAACCCCTCCTAAAACACAAGATAACAGTAAAACCTTACATGGAACTCTTTAGTCGTGATTCGTCTCTAGACAATTAGTTTGTTTTGTGCTATTAGCTGCTTTACTCTAAGAATAATTTTTGTTATTGATATAACTTGTTTTACGTGCCAGATTTTCTCATTGAAAAAGATGAAATAATTAGTATTTAGATACATCACCACTTTTATCAATACAGATTTCAGCTATCATAGAACATCATCAGTGGTAAAGAAGGTAAAAAGCCAAATAATGGTATTTATTTTGGTACTGGGGCTCAAACTCAGGTCCTTACGTTTGTGAAGCAGGCGGTGGAGCCACTGAGCTAAATCCCCGGACCAATAATGAAATATTTTTAAAGATAAATGAAATTTATCATTTTGGAGTACATACAATAACTTGAATATTCAATAATATGAAACATGTATAGTATCATATAAAAGGGACAGAATTTCATTAGAGGCCATAGACCAAATCCAAACTTCATCTGGAGAGGCCCAATTTAGGTTGCTTATGCTTTCACCAGAGTAATGACCCAGAACTTTCCCTCATGTCTTTCATCTTAAAATATTGGCATGTACCAAGATTCTATCTCAGACTTTCTTTTCATGACAAAAATTATCTGGACAATCTCCTCCACACTGGAGATAAAGCCACTACTTTTATGTTTTGGGTGGAAAATATAGAGTCACAAGCAATGGACATCAGTAAGTTCTTACTTGCATGTTGAGTACCAAACAAACTATGAGTAGGAGGACAAAATTTTTGCACCAAAATGTGTTAAAAACCAAATTTGACTAGTTTCAAAGCAACTGAATAGCAAGAAAGGACTGCATTCCTTTTCTCAAAGAACACCATTTAATCTTTTAAGCAGGAAAACTAAAAGTCAAACCAGAATGCTGCCTTATCTTCACTACCATCGTTTTCCAATTAAATGGTTTTATACCAAAACCTCTATTAAATAAACAAAACATCAATTGAACATTTTTTCATACTAGGTACCAAGTTAAGCATTTGTACATGAAGAAAAGTTAAGACATGTTTTCTGCCTTCTGGGAGCTCATAATGTGTGGGAAAAAGTGGATGTTGAAAGTTCCTTGACAAGGCTAAGGACAGGAAGCAATGGCAGCACACAGAATAATGAGCTAGCCCAAACAGGGGTGATGCATGGAGGATTCTTGATGCCGCTAATATCTAAATGACAGCTTAAAGTACAACTCAGTGTTACCCAGGTCAAACAATCCATTTGCTGGAACATATCTGACACTCAAAAAATGTTTGTGGCTACTAAGAACACAAGTAGTGACCTCATATGATTGACTTTAATGACTTAATTAGCTGAATGCATTCAAGTACATCTTCAATTTGTTCTCCTAAACTATAGGTCTTTCCTTTTTAACTACATAATTCAAAATATTGTTTCTTCAAATCCAATGATGTACAGATGAAAATTATTCCAACTAAGTTCCATTTAAAATGAGTTTCAAATTGAGCAAATACTGTTTAAAAAAGATGTCAGGTACTAATGAAAAGGTTTTTGATAAACATCTAAATAAACTTTAGTAAAAAGTGGTGGAGTGTGTAGGAAGCAAATGGAATCTTACTTGTAAGAAGCACTCTGCCCTGATGATGGTGTCCAGGAAGTTGGTAAATTTTTTTCCATGTTCATAATCATTCATCTTATACCAAATACATTCTACAGCAGAAACAGTAAATATAAAAATCTGGTTGTACAATAAAAACGGTGCAAAATATAATTATTACTACTCTGAAGTGACAAATGGTAAATTTAAAAATCTGTAAGTTTCATACATAATAGCCAGCTCATAGTGTAAATTGTAACAGAGATACGGAGGTGAGAGTGAGATATACATCAACAATATGGGAATGTAAGAGGAAAGTTTGTAGTAAAGAAAAAACCAGTAAAATTCACATATAACAAATGTGATTATCTTATTTCACATAGTGATCTAAGAGGTGATAAATGCATGAATGAAAACCTTGAGACTTCCCTAAAGTTCAAATAGAGTGAGTAGGACATCATCTACAAGTACTAAGAATTTAGCAAATAGAAGTACAATGAATTGTACGTCATATCCTCTCTGAAGAAAAAACTGTGCAGAAGAAGGAGAATTAGCCTGGAACTGACGTAAACTGACTTAAAACACCTGAAGAGTCAGAAGTTGCTTATCCAACAAGGAAATGCTCAATTTGGTCAACAGAAATACTATCTCTAGAAAAATATACCACTTTGGAGGAATGAAATGATCACCCTTTACTATGGCATGGATGAAAAATTTCTCACAGCCCTTTCCTTTAATTCTGTACATGAAAAATTTTCTAATGACAAAATTTTCTCCCGTATATTCTGATAACAGAGAGGAGATATTCCAGCTGGCAAATATGAACATTTTAGTCAAGACAAAGTCACTTCTATTATAAAATAATAAGTTGACATACTGGCTTATACATGAGTTTCTTGAATTTGATTAGCATTAACTCAATGACTTTTGCAGATGGCAAGTTTCTGGATGTAGAAGAAAGAAGAGGCCTTGCATCAGAGTAGAGCCATTCAGTAAGTTTGGGTGGCCATTCAGCAGTGCTTTTTTAATAACACCCCTCCTTTCTTACTGCCTTAAAATTATAACAGAAGCATTCATGCTATAAATATATAACAACAGATAAATAATTATGGCACAAGAGGGCTCTTCTTGTCTGGAATTTGGCAATCTCATAAAAGAACCCATTTGTAAACTATCTCGTTCCATTCACATTTGTCCAATGTTTTTAAGTGTCAATTCTTACCTTCTTGTAATATTTGACTCAACCAGTGGTAGAGCCTCAGTAAGAGGGACTCATCTCTGACACAGTTAATATAGTGAAGTAGCAGAGAGCTGTTTAGCACTGAGCCCATCTGAGAGGGCAGCTGTAAAGATGGAATCAATCAGTCAATAGTAAGTATACGTGGAAGTGAGTTGTGGCACACAGGAAATTATCATATAGGAAATATATAACAAAAGTAAAACTCATAAAGAAAATGCATATAAACACATGCTCCCGCCACATACCTCCAAGCAATGAATGTTTTGTAAGAGTAGAGGGAAGCTCTGAAGCTGTTCTAGTGGAAGTGACCTATTGCAACTGAGATGATCAGAAAGACTCATCTCCTTTTTTCCATGTCCTTTAGTGTAGCTACCAGAATTTAGCTTTGGTATAACTGAGTGAGAATTCCATTTCTAAAGAAGAAATAGGACAATATATCAATGAGCTACACAGACCACAAACTATAAATACCAAAGCAGTTGTTGCGAGGAGCAGTAACACATGTCTGTAACCCCAGCAACTTCGGAGGTTGAGCGAGAAGGACCACAAATTCAAGGCCAGCCTGGGAAACTTAGTTAGACTCTGTTTCAAAATAAAATGTAAAAACAGTAGGGATGTAGTTCAGTGATGGAGCATTTGCCAAGGAAACATAAGATCTGGGTTCAATATCCAGCACTGCAAACAACAAACAACAACAACAAAAACAAATAATTGTTAAGGCATTTCAATGAATATGGTTTGCATAGAATCCTGGGAAATTAAAATATGCGCAAATATCTAAAGACTTCACCAACATCTGAATGGTTATTATTTGGATTTAACAAAAGAAAGCCACACAAGTCATTTGGGGGTTTAGATACTTACTTCTTACTTTTTTTTTTTTTTTTT